GCTAGCTTACGTGGTTGCAGAGCTACCGGGATTTAAAAATAGTTATGCAAAACAGAGCGTGCCCGCTCCGACCAGCTTTAAAGGGTTAAAAAAGTGTGAAAAATACTAAAAATGAAGCTACAGTCTGTCAGTAGAGTCTAAAATTGGCTATTGGTTTCTAACAGTCAGTAATTCATTCAGCATTCAGTTTCCATGCATTCACTCTGTTTCAGAACTTGTCACGTCCACTTCCCAACACACTTTTTCCCCTAGTCCTGTCTCCTGAAATGTTCCAACCCTTCCGGATTGTACTCAGCTAATGATCCTGCACTGCCTGCTCCTAACCATGTGCCAGGTTTCTTTGTTTTTATGCCTGTATTTAGCATGTTGCCTCAGCCTGCTCTCAATATGTTTGTTGAACAAAAATATCAAAGATTGTAGCCAAGTCCTAATGACATGCTCTTATTTCTGTGTTTGCATGGTTTATAGGAAAAAGTGTGGCATTTCAAATCCTGTTAAAGACAAACCTGAACAATACTGAAGGGGCATTTCCATAAAACGGTGTGAGAAGATGAAGAAGGATAAAAAAAGACTGCCTTCCTGGAAGACTTACAGTTCTCTACAACCGGCTACGACCAACAAAGAAGCTGAGGCTTTGTTAGAAGAGGTCCCATGTGAGGCTCAAGTGTTTCTCCTGGCAAGCATTTAATGTGCAGCTGAAAGAAGATCAAGGGTTCTACACTTCTAAATTTGTAACATAATCATCCTGTTCACCCCCCACAGGCACTCACATATGCACACACACATACACACGTTTCGATGTATTTTGCGAAAGTGACAATTCAGATATTTAACAGTGTTCCAGCGTTTTTGTCTTTATTTAAAACTATAATTTGATATGACAACAACAGTGTGTGAGTGTGTATCCATACCTTTGCTTATGTCCTGGTACTCCAACCACAGCTGCCTCTGTACCTGCTTGTTGGGGTACCAGATGGTACAGGACTCCTGGAAGCCATACACTGCCTCCTGCACGTAGTGGTTCCCAAACTCCCTGAGGATGGAGACAAAGTCGCTCCGCTGTGTGGCTCCATCCAGAGAATGAATTGCGGAGCTGAAGGCTGGAAAAAAAACGTAGATGTTACAAAAGAACAAACAAACAAACAAACAGGGATGTCTCATCTTGCTTCCTTAATGAAAATCCTGCATATTCTCAGAGGACATAAGATATATACTGGGTAGTTTTTTCAGTTTATTATCTTGTAAGTATTTGTATTCGACCTTGAGTTTGTTTTAATTTTGGTCTTTTGCTGCTTTGTCAGGCACTGGGATAATCATTAGTTGCTAAACATTAGCATTTTTATACAAAATACTAACATACTTAAAGGCCAGTGTTGGGATGGTGCAGACATTAGCTAGGGGTGGGGGAAAAAATCGATACTGTGTAGTATGGTGATATTTTGTTTGCTAATAATGTATGGATACAGGGACAGCAGAAATCGATATTTTGTTACAAAAAAGGTTTTTGTGCTCTGACTTCAGAGCATGTTGATCCTTTTTCTGAGCAAGAATCCTGACATTCCTTCACTGTCCAAATGTGTTTAACTTTTTTATGGCAGCAATAAACATGACAGTTTACTTATTTTAATTTTAGACATGTTTTATTTTAATTAAGTTTAAAACGTTTTTATTTAATCTAAAATTATATTTTGTTTTAATTTACTTTCAAATTCTTCAGTTGCTGAAGGGGCTGCATAGTTTTCATAAACTGCATAGTTCAGAATAGCTATAATTGTACCAGATGGTTGATTCAGTTAAGTTGGACTAGACTGTAATACAAACCGTTCAGTTTGTCAACAATAAAACTGAAATGAGAGAAAGACTGAGTGTGAGACTTTGATATTAGATAAAATGAATATTGATAAAGTTTACCTTTATGTACAGAATCTGAATATCGCAAAAAAATTTTAAAAAATTGCAATAATATCGTATCGTGCGTTAAGTATTGTGATAATATCGTATCGTGGGATGTATGGTGATTCCCACCTCTAACATTAGCATAGGCAACTTAATGTATCAGCAAGCCAGTCACTAAAACCATTAAAAGTAAGCATAAACTGAGGTGATATAATTTACAATATTGTGCAAAAGTCTTGAGCAATTTATTGAAACTTCTAAAAACATACTTACAGTATAAAAACAGAATATACGGTAAAAATAAAGGATATACAATTCTAGCAAGCTTGGAAGTCAGTACTTTGTTCTTCAACAGAGCCTGAACTCTCCGAGGCAAACTCAGTGTGGAGCACCAGTGTGTTACGCATAAAGGCAGGCTGCAAGTGGAAAGTTGGAAAGTGGTAACAGGAAAAAGCAAGAATCAGGGAATTTGGAATTCTGACAGTCAATGTCCATATACATTGTTACCATGATAACCCTTATTATGTGATAGACTAGTTAAAGTCTTAAGTTTAAAATATTCAAATTGTGGTTATAACAAGATCGTGGCTATGTGATTACTGGCAACTACAGTTTCTATTTTTTGCCCTTTTTAATCCACGTTTGTCTCACTTGTTTAACATCACAAACTATTTAAAATGACAGTGGGTGAAGCAGGTCTGTCAGGTGTCTGGAACCAAATGTCTTAAAAGGGTTTAGTGAACTTCTGAGCCAGCTGCTTACTATTCATGAACCCTTTTGACCAAACAGTGCTGATTATCCACACTGTCCTCACACGGACACGAGAGCCCTGCCTCACTTCCAACTGGTCACATGTGGATGCTCGGTCTGGAGCAATTGACGCACGTTTGAATGCACTAGGTACCCTTCACACTCATTTATCAACATGCAGAGTGGGCTTATTGGAAACCAGACCATGACATTTCCTAAACCTAACCTAGTGATTTTGGTGCCTGAACAGTGTGTAACAACACATCTCCCACACAAAGCCTGCAGTGTCCTGATAACCAGTCAGTATTAACACTGCAGCATGGGAGACAAAACTGTGCACTTATTTAAGCTGTGAGCATGAACGCATTCAAACAGAATAAATGTTTAAAATTTGTCACTTTGAACTGCAACTCTGTCTTTATTTTTATATTTGCAGTGTTTTCTTGGGTGTCAATCCTTGAATTGGTAACTATGGAAGTAAAGGTAGATGCTAAAACACAAGTACAGAGTCGCTGTGAAACAGAAACAGCAGCTACACACAAATTTGTCTAAGCTTTGGTAATATTGGTAATTATTCAAGCTATTCATAGTATAGATTTGTTATAGCAGCAAAGCTCCTGATTGCATTGACATTTTTTTGACATGTGTTATCCATATTTCAGATTAAATAGTCTGTTTTAACAATAGAAGTAATCAAGGCTTAGATATATTCACCATGCAGAATTTTAGAAAGTAGCATGTGTCTGAACAAACTACAAATTAAGACTGAAAGCTATGTTTTGTCAGTTCCTCTGTGATCTGCTGCTCAAAACAACAGTCAAGAATGAATGTGATCAAATTTAAAATTCCTCTTTTATCACAAAGAAACTGGCACATATCATGAGGTCTTTGGACCCTGGAGCAGTTCAAAAACTGCTACTAAAAAAAGTGAAAATCAAAAGCTATGACTAACTCAATTCAATTCAGTTTTATTTACACAGCACCAAATCACAACAACAGTCGCCTCAAGGCGCTTTATATTGTAAGGTAGACCCTACAATAATACATACAGAGAAAACCCAACAATCATATGACCCCCTATGAGCAAGCACTTTGGCGACAGTGGGAAGGAAAAACTCCCTTTTAACAGGAAGAACCCTCCGGCAGAACCAGGCTCAGGGAGGGGCGGGGCCATCTGCTGCGATTGGTTGGGGTGAGAGAAGGAAGACAGGATAAAGACATGCTGTGGAAGAGAGCCTCCTACTTCTAATATAGTTTATGTGTCGTCTAAGCAACCGACCGGTCTTGTTTTTATTTAAATGCTGGGTAAGACTGGTTACTTGTGTTACCTTTAACCTAACTTTAAATAGAAAATGTATCATTCTTTGATGTTCTACAGGAACTCCTCACAAATCAGGCTGTGTTTCTCCTTTTTAAACGTGCCATCATCCACAATAAAAACCCGTCTGAGTTAATGGTGCTTTTCTTTTCCCTTAGAGTAACTGAACCTCTCTTGGAGGCTTTTGGTACTAGATCTTAAACTGGAATGACAGGTTCTTACCCAAAGTGTCAAAGAACTACTAAAGAACTGCCGACTATATTTACAATCTAAATTCTAAACGAGCTGTTACAATGACTCTGTAGTTTTTGGTGATGAGTTAAATGCTAATGCTCTTATTTTAGTGATTTCACATTGGGTTAATGGTGACTGGTAAAAAGGCAACCTTGAAATGACCGTGTGTTTACTGAAATTCCCACTCATTAAAAACTGGAAAACAAATCTGCAAAAGCAGTTTTATCATTATGATTTCCAGGAGAAGCCGTATCAAAATGTCAGCAATCACGCTCCGCTCACTCTTACTTCTTCTCTAAAATTAAATTAGGAGCCCACTGAAGTGCGAGCCAGAGAACGCAGTGAGGATGAGCGATGAGGGCTTTGCTATCAGATGTAAAAATCAGTACCCTCACCCCTCCGGTGGCTGTTGAAATATGATGAGCTAAAGAGGGAAATGGGAGTAAAAAAAAGATGGAGGCTGTTGAGTCGCTTCTGAGTGAAGAGAAAATAGAAAGTGTATCCTCAGCAGAAGTGGCAGCCACTTTCAAACCACAGCAGCACCATTGGAAATGCATTAGAGGTGCCGTGGCTGTATTTACAGTGGGGTGCCTTCACTTATCAGACGGGAAACTATTTATGATAGATCTATGAATAATGCATGCACTTAAAGCATGACAAAAATCCAAATTATCAAATGATCCTGCTGTCGGCCAGGCAGAAAGATTGACGTCAATATTTAAATATGTACTTTACCCTTAAACGCACTGCCAACAAAACAACTACAGTGATACAGGGTGGTAAAGACAAAAGAGAGACACCGATTATATGTGTTTATTTTTAGTTATTTTTTATTTATACAGCTAGTGTTGAAAAACCCGTCAGGGTTTCAGTACAATCCCTGACGTGACAGCGAATAGGAGCAGCCTTCAGTGAACGTATTGCTTGACTAAGTACCTATCCACAGTTATCTTACTCTGTGAAGTTTGCATGGCAGGCACTGTCAGGATGACTCGATCTTACTATGGCAGCAAAGCGGTTTGATATATGACAGACTATTAGAGAGGCAGAGAAAAAGACAAGCATGCATATGTCTGTATACTGACCTCCTTTCTGGGTACCCATCAAATCAGCCAGCTACAGTCGATCTTAATTAGTATTTAATAATAATAACTAATTATAGTCATATTTGAACGTGACATCCAGTTTTTAATTGAAGCTTTAACATCAAACCACAACTGCCTCGTGCCTCAAGAAACATCTGAGCTTTAAAATATGATCATGTGAGGAAATGAG